ACGAAAGATCAAATGGGACCAGGGAATAATATATCTAGAAATGCATATCCCAGGAAGAGAAGAGCATGCAAAAGAAATGGATCACAACATCCAATGCAGAGGAATCGGGGCAGAGGAAAATCCAAACATGGGAAGATGAGGAAAACGCAAGAGGAAAAGAGCAGACAGCAGAGTAGTAAGCTAGCAGAGGATTAACGGAGAGGAAAGCACCATGGATGCGCGGCGTGGAAGTGAACCCCCAGCAACAGAGCGGAAGGAACAGGCGCCGAAGACGGCGGACGCAGGCACCGCAGCGGCGGCGGCGCGTGCGAGGCTAAAGGCCCAACCGTCTAGGAACGACGACACCGAGGGTGGAGCCGTAATGAATGCACCATGGGCCAAGTCGAATAGGAGAACTTAACTGGAGCCCAATTGCTGCGCACGAAGGCAATCCACGCAGGCACACGGAGGGCACTTGCGGAGCAGGCACGCGTCGAAGCAGCAGTGGCACGCGGCGCAAGTATAATATAAGCTCGGTTTAGTTTTGTTCGGTAAAACGAAAATCACGCACAGGAGAGCAGGGAATCCATACGGCATAAGGATGTACATATTTCTAAGGTGATTATGTTTCACTTAAATTACATTGCCTTATTTGGCAAAGCAATCTCAACATTGATAGTTTATACATCCGACGACATCCATGCTATGGCCTCTCTTCCGAATGGTAAGTCGTTCTAACTTTTCTAGATGCATAGCTTTTAGTACACACTTAGATATATATTATACTTAGATATATAATAAAAAATATGTACCTAAAAAAGTCAAAACAAATTACAATTAGGAATAGAGGGAGTAGTTTATACCTTTTCCATCACCAGGTGGAGCTTGAGGTTTAAACTCTTCATCACCATCCCTCTACATTGACTTGGAACATCTTCACAAGACGGGTTATTGGTGCCATAGCACAATAGGATAGGGGCTCAACCAAGGGATCAGGCGGTGCACTGGGATGAAGTTAAAGGGCAACAACTCAACTGACGTGATATGGCTTGAGTTGGTGGTCATGGCTAGCAGTACTTTGGTTTCTACTGGTCGGGGGAACTCTAGCAATGATTTACCATGACACATGCAGATGGTTCAGCTCGGCTGTGGGTCATGCAGAGGAGGACATATGGAGGGGAGGGTTTTTCTCCATTGACAAAACTCTCACACTGTTGTCTATGCCAAGGGGAGGGCTAAATAACAAGGAAATTTACTACCAACGGGCCATGTGCGAAATTGCCATAGTGTCCTATAGTCCCATGTCTCGCAGCGGCGTAGTTAGGATTTGTAGGTAGTGCGGTCCAATATTACATACCTTTTTATAAATTAGTTTTAGTAGATACACTATAAAATATATTTTTATAATACACTCATTTAGTGTCACAAACATTTATACTTTTTTTTTCTATAAATCCGATATAAAAAACGTTTTAATACGACTCTATGGATTGTTTAGGACCTATTTGTTGGCTTTTACTAGCCATAAGCTAAAAATAAATATCCTAGCCGCTGAGTGGATTTTTGAAAAGTTGACTTCTAAAAATGAATTAAAAGATGAAAACATATCGGGAGGAGTTTTTTTTTTACTTTTAGTGTGCTATAAGAAGCTAAAAATCTATTAAAAAGCCAATAGCAAAAGGCAACAACCAGAAGTCAGAAGCTAGCTTTCGAGCTAAAAATCCAAAAACTATAGCTCAAGCAAACGTGCCTTTATTCAATAACGGAGAGAAACATGCCTTCATTCAGTAACGGAGAGAAACATGCCTTCATCGGGGAAGAAGAGAGAGAGAGTAGTAGAGAAAGATATAGGATGTTTGTTTGAGAAATGAGTTAGTCCATCATCTTTTCACTCCTCACTTTGTTTGTCGGGTGTGCGAAATGAAATTGGTTGATTTATTATCACCTTATTGTTCATAAGCTAATAATTAGTATCACTACAAGAAATATAGTCATTTCATCAAATTTAAAGAATGGACCTATGATGCATCATCTGATCTAGAATAGAGCGATTTCTCAAACCAAATGTCATATGTAGGTGCACTACTCTCAAGTCTGCCTACTTATTCGCATTAATTTAAAGATAAAATAAGATCAGAACTGATTGCACGCTTGCTTGCCTTAAATCAGTTGTCCACTAAGGCTTGTTTTGTATAGCTTCACCAGTGATGCTAAAACTATTTAAAAAACATTTGGTAAAACAATTTTGCAGGGAAAATAACAAAGAGAAAGCTAGAAAAAACTAGTTTTCACCTAACTTTATCTGGAAACTATGCATGTAAGGGAAGCTGAAAAAATAACTTATGCCAGTCTCAATAGAGGTTTCACATCTCAGTTTCCAACGCATCCATATTTTGGAAAATAGTGCAGAAGAGTTTCACTCTCTACTTCCATAAAATTTTTATTATCTCTTTTTATCAATATAGTGCCACATCAACATATTTAATATCTATGAAACTCCGATAAAACCCCATTGAGACTGGCATTATAGGAAGGAAGGAGCGGTTTCATCATAATTGGTTTGGTAAAAAAAAAGCTAAAAAATGACTTTATGAAGCCGGTGCAAAAACTGTTCCTATAACACTACCAACTCAGCGAAATAAAACGGCGGAACTGTATCAAACGGCAGCAAACACGCCCTTGTCCCCTCTGCCGTTCCGACAGAGTGGCGATCTGTTTTGGACGCCTTGATTGGACACGTACCCAGGTCGCCAGGCATGCTTCACGTTTAGATTGAGGTTACGAATCAGTATTTAGTATTGTAGTATTTTTATTTGTATTTGATAATTATTGTTCAATTATAGTTTAATTAGGCTTAAAAGATTTGTCTCGCAATTTACAATTAAACTATATAATTAGTTATTTTTTTATCTATATTTAATACTCTATGTGTTTAAAGATTTGATGTGACGGAAATAGAGCGAAAAAACTTGCGATCTAAAACGAGGCCCCAGAGTTCAGACCCGCGAGCTCACCGCTCAGCTTTCACGGTTCAGCCTTTTGTTCTCCGTTATTACTCCGGTCACCCCGTGAGGCGTGAGCTCTCCCTGTGTCTTGGCGACGACTGGGCGACCGACGACGAAGCCGTAGGCCAGGGCCCCAGGTCTTCCTCTGGCCCTTCGCCGGCGACGAGCACCCGCCAGGTGTGCCCACCACTTCTCTTCCCTTCCTACCAGTGGCGGATCTAGATAAGGGGCAAAGGGGGTGCTGACCTTGGATGCTGTTGCTGGATTTGCATCCTCCCTGAGCCGCTGGGGGCGCCACCATGCCGCCGCTCAAGCCGCAGGCTTCCTTGCGCCTTCGCGGAGCTGGCTGTCGAGCGCAGGATCTCGCCGTCTGGGGGGTTGGGGGTCTCGATGAATATCGGCGATTGCTGGGGATTTTGGCAGGATTGGGGAGCACCGGAGTTCCTGTGGAAGACAAACGAGTAGCGCAAGGAAGCGAGGAGCGAGCGATGCTGGGATGCGCTGAATGACCTGGTGTGTGTTAGGGGTGTCCGGCTGGGCTTGGCCCTTTTTGGCTTGGGTTGTTGAGCATGCACAATGGGCGTGCTTAGCCAAAAAAACCGGAAATTTACTGATTTAGCTACTCTCTAAAATAGATTTGACAAAAAAAAAAAAATACTAGAGTACTCCAACAGACTAGTGAGGTAGGCTATCCAAAAAGTAGAGAGCGAATGAGGTGGGATGGAGAGCTACTAAATTTGAAGAGTCATTTATAGAGTCTGTTGGAGACGTTTTCCCTTTAATAATAGCCAAATTTACCTTTAGAAAACGATTTGACTAATCTCTTGGAGATGCTTTTAGCACCAATGCTTAATGCAAGTTAAAAAGGTGGCTGAGCTTATCTAACTGCCTGATTACACTGTAGGAATTAACTTCTATGCTGATGCTTAATGATTAACCATACTCTCTCCTTAAGCACCCATCTCTAAACACCATGAATTGTTAATGCCCAATGTTTCTTGGGCTGGACCTGGGCTGTAGCACCCCATCCGGGGGATCCAGATCCGCCGATGCCTCCTACTATGTGAAACCGAGCACCCAAACACTAACCTAAGCTATTTGGTTAGCTGTGTTCGGATTTGATCTAAATAACAGGTGTTTACATGTATTATGCCTACTAACTTTGATTTCTTGCATAAATTATCAGGTGTACATGTGTGCACCCATGTCCTGTGCTCGCAAACTCCGACCTGCAAGCCCAATTTGCAAGCCCTACTAACTTTGATGTCTTAGTGGAGTAGTGGAACTCTAACCTGGTTAGTCTTGGTTAGCTGTGTGAAACTTGGAATGGAGGGTGTTGGTTTACATCTTATAGAATATCGTGTCAAAATCATCGTGCCAATGCATGCTGTGCCATGCATCACCTTTGCGGTATAAAGATCGTCCTAGTAAAATGGTGACATATTGCGTGCTAATTTTGATCAAGAAATGGATCTGTCTTGTTCTTAGATTAGCATCTCATGTTGGCGACATAAAGAATATGACATATGATATATTGTCTATCTGACTTATTTTTGACATTGAGATGAATATGTGCAGTTGCTGTGCTGCATATGTTTAGTTTTGAACCGACTTCTGTATATCGGTTGCTTGGGTTGTGTTCTCCACTTGTTGAATCCTGTGCTCCCTTTCATTATTACATTCATTTTTCCCTTAAGTTTTAGTTCTATTCTTTTGTGAGCCATGAAGAAAATAGGCCTTTTTTCAAAGCAAGTACTGAGGACATGTGCATTAACGCAAGAACATTTTAAAATTTGTTGGCACTATTAATAAGCATAATCACTTTTTTTCCCCATCACTGTAGGTGCTGACACATCTATTTTGACTGGACAACTTACCTTGTTAACGAAAGTTTCTCTGATATTCCGATGGCCTAGCAGTTATTGTGGAGGATGTTCATTTGTGTTTATCATTTACTTGGTCTTGTTCGGGACAACGACGACATTGGGAACAAGTGTACAACAGACAAACAGTAAAATGGGAAGGAAAGGCTCAGAAGTGTCACCAAGTAACAGGTATCCCTTGAGGTCTGCGCATAGTAGTGGTAGAGTTCTTCGCTCTGCCTCAGCCAATGATAATAAGGACAGTGAGCCTCTGAATGCTGCTGCTGCTACCCAAGCCGCTGTGAAAAAAAGAAGTGGCAGTCAATTGGATAGTCCTAATAGCAGTGTCAGGTTGCTTCGCTCTTCATCAAAAAATAAGGACGAGGCACGTAGTGGGCCTCTAAATGACAGGATCCCTGATAAGCCAGCTGCAAATAAAAGAAAACATGCCAGTCCCTCACAGGTGGGAAGTCCCAGCAATAGTGTGAGGGTGCTTCACTCTGCAATAAAAAATAAAGATGAGGCATGCAGTGAGCCTCTAAGTGACAGGATCGCTGGTGAGCCAGCTGCAAATAAAAGAAAAAACGTCAATCCCTCAAAGCTGGGGAGTCCAAGCTGTGGTGTGAGGGTGCTTCGGTCTGGTTCAAAAGCTAAGGATGAGACATGTACCAAGCCTTTAAATGATAGCGCTGTTGTTGAACCAGCTTCAAGTAAAAGGAAATGCACCAGTCCGTCAAAGGTGGGAAGTCCCAGCAATAGTGTCAGGGTGCTTCGATCTACATCAAAATATAAGAATGAGACATGTACTGAGCCTTTAAAAGATAGTGATGCTGTTAAACCAGCTGCAAATAAAAGGAAAGGTGTCAGTCGTTCAAAGGAGAGAAGTCCCAACAGCAGTGTCAGGGTGCTTCGCTCTGCCTCAAATAATAAGATTGAGGCATCTATTGATTCTCTAAATAATAGTACTGCTGGTCAACCAGCTGCGAAAAGAAGAAAAAGTGGCAATTCCTTCGAGGCAGGAAGCCCTGTGAAGAGTGCCAGGGTGAAGAGTGCCAGGGTGCTTCGCTCTACCTTAGAAAGGAAGAATGAGGCATCTAGTGAGCCTTTAAATGATAGTGCTGCTGCTCAACCATCTGCGAGGAAAAGAAAAGGTGGGGCAATTTCAAAGACCGATAGTCCAAAGGTTGGTGTTAGGGTTCTTCGCTCTGCCTCAGGAAAGAAGAATGAGGCAAGTAGTGAGCCTGTAAATGATAGTACTTCTGCTGAACCAACTGTGACAAAAAGAAAAATTTGCAAGCCTTCAAAGGATCGCAGTCCCAAGAAGGACTACTTAAAAATTTGTCAAAGAATTAGATATATTTTGAACCGAATGAACTATCAACAAACCTTTATTCAGGCTTATGCAAGTGAAGGTTGGAAAGGACAAAGGTTTGTCATCCAAACATGTTTCATATTGCTGTTCAATTCCATTTTGTGCATTTTCCCCTTTTCTAGAATTAGCGTTTGATTTGGAGTATTTATTAGGTCACTTAATTCCAAAAAGGATAGAATTAGTTGGTACTAGGTAGGATACAATGTGTACAATATCCTCATATACTAAGTGTCTAACTCGGCTTTCTTTTTTATGTGTAACTGTTATTCCATATTTACTGTTTTTATTATTAGGGTGGTATGGCAAATACTCCCTCCGTTCCAAATTATTATACGTTTTGGCTTTTCTAGATACGTTGTTTTTGTTTTGTATCTAGACATGGTGTATATCTAAGTGCATATCAAAAGCTATGTATCTAGAAAAACCAAAACGTCTTATAATTTGAAATGGAGGGAGTAGAAGAGATCTTGGATCTTGGTTTGGCTGCATTCAATGTTCCATATCTGCCTATAATATTTTGGGAATGTCTTGCAATTCACATTCCACTATGCATTTTTGTAATTCTATTAATAGACTTCAAGTGTGTCCTCTTGTCATGTACCGTGTTGATGGTATAAATGTGCAGTTTGGAAAAAATAAGACCTGAGAAGGAGCTTGAACGAGCCAAGGAAGAAATCCTCCAATGCAAGTTAAGAATCCGGGAAGCTTTTCGAAATATGGACTCTCTTTTATCCAAGGGGAAGCTTGAAGAATCTTTGTTTGATTCCGCAGGAGAAATTTCAAGCGAAGATGTAGGCGGTCTCATTTTATTCTTGATATCTCACATTCTTATTTAAGCCTGGTTGTCAAATTAATGCAGAGATAATTTGTTTCATCTTTCAGATATTTTGTGCCGTATGTGGTTCAAAGGATGTTACTTTACAAAACGACATCATTCTTTGTGATGGAGCCTGTGACAGAGGATTCCACCAGAACTGTTTGAACCCTCCTTTGCTAACTGAAGATAGTAATATCCACCACATCTTTTGGTTTCCCTACGTTCTCAAATCATCATTGCTTGCTCATTTATAATTGTTTTTATTTGTAGTACCTCCTGGGGATGAAGGATGGCTTTGCCCTGCATGTGTGTGCAAAGCAGACTCTATAGATGCACTAAATGAACTTCAAGGAAGCAAGCTCTCTATTCATGACTCATGGGAGGTAAAAACCTATGAAGTACCTGTAGAACAGAGATAAATGAGGCTAAATTAAATTCCAACATGATGCTGCCTTTAATCTCTGCAGAAAGTTTTCCCTGAGGCAGCTTCAATTGCCAATGGTTCTAAACAAGTTGATGCTTCTGATCTGCTGCCGGATCATATAAAGGACAGTGACAACCTTGCATTGGCTGAAGGGCATATGGTGAATGAAGTCAGGTTTTCTGCAGAGGATGACAGCAAAGGTCAGATTCTGATGTCTTAGATTTCATCACCTTGTTTGAGCATTCCAAACCTTTTAAAAAACAGGTCCGTTCCCTCTATTCAAGGTTGTTAGGATTAGGATCGTTTTTTGCCTGGCAATATCAGATTACATCGTAGAATTGGATTGTAGTATGGGATCCTATTGGACTTTACGATCACAGCTTAAACTTTTCTATAAGCTAGCTTTTGATAGTTTACTACAACTACTACTTTTTAGAAAGCTGCTAAATGCAAAGGAGAGCCTACCCCAACTTGTTTGGGACTTAAAGGCTTTGTTGTTGTTGTTGCTAAATGCAAAGGAGAAGCTGTCCCATTGTGGCAGCTTGCTGCCTTTTTCTCCTATGGGGCCCACATGTCATGGAGAGGGAGAAATATCTTCCTTGTTGTCATGCCAAATAAGGAGGTCGCAATCAGCCTCATCGGAGGAGAGGTAGCTTGGTCCAGTGGATCTTAGCTGAGGGAATCTCTGCTCAGGCCTTGTGATAAGCCCATCCCTCATCTTTGCTTTTGGCCCTTGAGCCAAAGGAGAAAAAGCTGGGGGCGCCAGAACCTCCATGGTCCACGCCTCCAAAAGTAGTGAGGTGGACATAGGGGTGGCTTGGATGGAGGGAACGACGCGGATGTGGAAAATCGTAGGCAGACTGGCAGAAGAGTTGCGTGCGGGAGGAAAAAGCTGGTCTCCTGCCGCTGCCCAGAAAAGCTGGCATCCAGTTCATTATTCAGACTGACAAGTTGTATTAGGCACGAATGCTAGTTTGAGAGCTTGGTTGATGGGGGTGTGTGGTTTTGCAAGGGTTGTTACCCCCCTTTTTTTTCCTTCTTAATACATATGTAGCTCTCCTGCACGCTCGAGAAAAAAAAGTTCATTCTTCATAAGCTCTACTTTTTAAGCGCGTGTTTGGCACCTGTTGTGGCTTAAAAAAAGTAAAAGCTGAAAGCTTGTGCGCCAAACAGGACCTATGTTATCAAAGATTGAAGCCTATAGTATTAATTAGTTTACTTGACTTGTTGTAAATTTATGTGAATTCGTTGACATTTATTTTCAATCCACCTTAACTTTAAATAATATGTTATCACAAGCAACTAATCATGTAATGTAAAAATTCATTTAGATCAATTATTATGTAGGATCTTAGTGTTAGAATTAATATTGCTATTTACTTTAATCACCTAGTTACTTGTGTAATCTCCTAGCTTTAATCTCCTAGCTAGCTGTGCTGAGTTAATGCCCAGCTGGCCCCTTGGGGTTCGGCTGGCCTCTTGGGACTCGGCTGGCCCTTTGGGTTACCCTCCTCCTCTCTTTATATATGTAATCTCTTCTGTAAACTCAATTCAAGGAATCCAAGCATGTTAGGCTATTGTCTATCATGGTATCGAGACTAAACCATCGATCCTTACCTTCCGCTCCCACTCCACCCCCCAAACTGCTGCGCACACCCATGGCCACCTCCAGGCTCCTCCGCCATGGCTACATGACCAAGCTCGCGACGAAGCCCTCTCTCACGCTAAGCGCTGGAGGATGAGGCCTCCTCTCTGCGCTCCACCAACACAGAGCGCGCGACCCAGCTCGAGGAAGAAGCGCCTTCTCAAGTCCGCCGCCGCCCGCCCGAGCGTGTCGCGCCCGCCACGCTCTTGACAACAAAGCGCGCCAGACAGCATACTACCGAGCAGCGAGAGCCTGCCCCTCCGGGATCGCCTCCGCTCAGAGCATCCGGACGACGACGCCGATCCCGAGGATGACGACGCCCACTCCGCCTCCTCTCAAGCGGCGGCCATCGCCCACCTCCACACTCAAGTCATTGTTGCCGTCGTAACCTCATCCCTATCGTTCTTGATCTTCAATCCTCCTACTACTCCAAGTGGCGCGGCTCGTCCTCCTCATCCTCGGCCGTTTCGCCTTGAAGGATCACGTCCTCGGCCGACGACTCCCGCCCCTACGATCCGGCGTGGTCACGCATGGACTGCGTCGTCCTCTCTTGGCTTTTCAACACCATCTCCGCCGACCTCCTGGACGTCATCCATGAGCACGACGGCCTCACCGCCCGGACAAAGATGGCTCGGGATTGAACAAAGATTCCTCAACAATCGCGAGTCCCGCGCCATGCTCCTCGACGCCGAAGTTTCGCACTCTCTGCCAAGGTGCCCTCTCCATCGATGACTCATCGCCTCAAAATGAAGAGCATGGCGGATGCCCTCGCCGACCTCGGCGAGCCCATCGAGACCGAACTCGTGTCTTTGAAACGTTCTCGAGGTCTCAATGAACATTTTCGGTTCATGTCCCAAACCGTCACCCGCCAGAGGCCGTTCCGTCCTTTCGCCGATGTTCGTCTGACCTCCGTTTGGCCGAGCTCAACATGGGGCGCGCCTCCTCTCCTTCGGCTCTTGTCGCCGCGCCCTCCCATCGAGCCGCCCGCCGTCGTCCTCGCTGCGCCTCCTACCATCATCGAGCCGCTGCTTGCCATCATCATGCTTCTTTGGACAGCAATCCATGTAACAACATGCATGTGCCGCCGCCGCTGTGGCAGCGCGCGGCTTTGGCGGCTCCCACAAAGCAAGGCAGGTATGGATCGCACCACCACACCACAGTGGCCCTCGCCGCTCAACCCCGGACCGCTCTATCCACATGTGGCGGGGTCCACCGCCGGCGGCGCCTGTGGCCCTCCACCACGCTGATCCGGCTGCACCTCTCTGTGAGCTCTGTGGCGGCGTGCCACCGCATACTTCTCTCCACCACCGGCTTCCTGTCCTACCCATGACCCCTCAGCACCTCCTCGCTTGGGCGCCTGGACGCCGAGGGTCTCGCTAAGCGCCTTGACCACTGCCTCCCTCCCCCCCACCGAGTTCCTCGGATTGGGTGATCGACTCGGCGCCTCCTCCCACATCACCGCCAACCCCGTATGGTCACCGCTACACCATTCTCTTCCTTTCCCTCCTCCATTGTCGTGAAACACGGGGGCCACCCTCCCTGTTATTGGCACCGGCTATTCTGTCCTTCCTGGACCTTTTCGCCTCGACAATGTCCTTGTAGCTCCCGACATTATCAGAAATCTCCTTTCGGTTCGAAAATTCACTACTGACAATTGTGTTTCTCATGAGTTTGACCTCTTGGTGTTTCGTGAAGGATCTTCATGCACTGAACACCCTCCTCCGATGTAACAAAGACGGGGCCTCTCTACACTCTTGACTCCTTCATCCACCATCGGCTCCTGCGCCCTTGTCGCCACTCCTTCACCAACCACCTGGCACAGGCGCCTCGGTCACCTCGGCAAGGCCACTCTTCAGTCCCTTGCACAGTCCTCCTCCATTGTCTGCAGCAAGCCTGAAGATGACTCCCTCTGCCACGCCTGTCAGCTTGGGCGTCATATTCGTCTCCCTTTTTCTATTTCGCTATCTAGAGCAGCCAAGAATTTTGATTTAGTCCATTGTGACCTGTGGACATCTCCTGTTGTTAGTGTCTCTGGTTTCAAATATTATTTAGTTATTCTTGATTATTGCTCTCATTTTCTCTGGACTTTTCCCCTTCGCGCTAAGTCCGATACATTCCCCACGATTTCTAATTTCTTCGCTCATGTGTCTACCCAATTCGGCTGCACCATTAAATCAGTCCAATGTGACAACGGTCGCGAGTTTGACAACTCCGCCTCTCATGCTTTCTTTCTTGCTCACGGCATCACTCTCCGCATGTCGTGCCCCTATACTTCCCAGCAAAACGGGAAAGCCGAGCGCATGATCCGCATCGTCAATAACATCACACGCACCCTCCTCTTCCAAGCTTCCATGCCCCCCTCTTACTGGGCTGATGCTCTAGCCAGTGCCACCTATCTCATCAATTGCCTTCCCACCAAAACTCTAAACATGAGCACCCCCTTTTTCGCCCCCCATGGCACCCTCCCCTCCTATCATGATCTTCGTGCCTTCGGGTGCACATGCTACCCCAACCTTTCGCCACCACTCCTCACAAGCTTGCCCCCGCTCCACCCTCCTGTGCTTTCCTTGGTTATTCACCGGATCACAAGGGCTATCGGTGTCTCGACCTCAACACCAACCACGTCATCATTTCTCGCCACGTTGTTTTCGGCGAAACAACGCTTTCCTTTTCCTCACACCGCTCATCCCTCCTCGGCAGAACTTGATTTTCTAACCGACGACGACACCATTCCAAAGTCTCCCCTTCCTGCAGTACACCACCCTGGCCGCTTGCCTTCCAGCTTGGTGCCTCTGCACCATCTCTGCTGCAGTGCACGCCGCGCGTCCAGGGCCCCGGTCTTTGCCAGCGCCCTCCACCCCGGCACCAACGGCTGTGTCCAGGGGGTCCCCGACGCCTCTCTCAGACAGTGCCCCCTATACAGCGCCAGGCTCCACCGTCATCCACGTCTCACAACCGACGCTCCCCCCCCGGTGATTGCGCCTCGAAGCCGCCTATTATTCATGTCTCACGGCGGCGTGCTCCTGCTCTCCCCGCCCCGCCACCCGAAAGCGCGGCGGCGAGCGCCTCCTCGACGTTCCAAAGATGGTCCCTCTCCACCTCGCTATGTCAAGAGCGATCCTCCGATCCCTTTGGTGTCAAGTTTCCATTCCGCGGTGATTAACTCCCTCCCATGCATGGCGACCGTGGAAAAAAAGTTAGCTCTGGCGGCCCTCGCCTCGCCTTGCATACCGAGGCCTTGTCTCCCTACCATGGTCCTGTCCGAGATGCCCTTGCGATCCTCATTGGCGTCGAGCCATGGAAGATGAATATGCGGCTCTTCAGGACAACCACACCTGGGACCTCGTCCCCCGCCCCACCACGGCCAATGTTGTTACTGGAAAATGGATTTTCAAACACAAGTTCCATGCCGATGGCTCATTGGAGAGATACAAGGCTCGTTGGGTACTTCGGGGATTCACTCAACGCCCCGGTGTTGATTATGATGAAACTTTCAGCCCGGTTGTCAAGCTAGCCACTGTTCGGACAGTCATCACGGTGGCACACTCCAGGGAT